GGATGAGTTTTCCTGTGTAACTGTGCTTCTGATTTCAAACCTATTAAAATAAAATGCAATGAGATAATTAGAACAAACATAAGAAATACAGACTACTAGTGACACAATGCTGAAATAAATCTGTGAGGATACTAGTAAAAGAGTTCTGAAGTGTCTACACTTATTGGAAAAGGAGACTTGAATTTAGATTGTATTAGTTCTCAAATGACAACATATCCATATATATATATATATATATATATATATATATATATATATATATATATATATATAAAAGCCTAAGTGACTGTTACAACCGAACAACCAGAACGATCAGAACGACTGGTCAACCAGTCGCTATGATGTGCACTGACCACCAGGGGGCAGACGCTCAACACAGGAGCTGCCCCCTGGTGGTCAGTGTTCTCCCACAGCCAACCTCCCATGGCACCTCCCCCCTCCAGGCCTGCCAACCTCCCACAGCCCCTCCCACGGCCAGCCAGCACCCCAGTAGGCCTCAATCGCCGGCCAAGCCAAGGGACCCCACCCATGCATGAATTCGTGCACTAGGCCTCTAGTTAAAGTATAAAAGTGACTAAAAAATGTTTTTTATTTAATTTATTGGGGTCACATTGGTTAATGAAACTATATAGGTTGCAAGTGTACAACTCCATAAATCATCATCTGCATACTGCATCATGCACTCACCACCCAAAGTCAAGTTTCTTTCCACCACCATTTATCCCCCCTTTTGCCTTCTTCCACCTCTCCCCACCCCCTGTACCCCCTGGCAAGCATCATATTGTTGTCTGTATTCTTTTTGTTTGTGTTTGTTTTGTTTTGCTTAATCCCTTAACCTTTTTCACCCAGCTCCCCAACCCCTCTCACCTCTGACAGCTGTCAGTTTGTTCTCATTTTCTATGAGTCTGTTTCTATTTTGTTTGTTAGTTTATTTTGTTCATTAGATTCCACATATGAATGCACTCATATGGTATTTGTCTTTTTCTGACAAGTTTATTTCACTTAGCACAGTACTCTCCAGGTCCATTCATGCTGTCACAAAAAGTAAGATTTCCTTCTTTTGTATGGCAGAGTAGTATTCTATTGTGCAAATATACCACAGCTTTTTGTTGTTGTTAATCCTCACCCGAAGATATTTTCCATTGATTTTTAGAGAGAATGGAAGGGAGACAGAGAGTGAGAAGCATTGATGTGAGAGAGATATGTCAATTGGTTGCCTCCCGCACATGCCTGGACCAGGGCTAGGGGATTGAACCTGCAACCATTTAGACTGAAGGCTGAGATTCTATCCACTGAGCCAAACCAGTTAGGGGCCTACCACAGCTTTTTTATCTCCTCACCTATTGATGGGTACTGGGTGTGCTTATGTGTTGTTGTTATTTTTATTTGTTTTATTTCATTTTTCTAAAGGTCTGCTTATGATTTTAAGAAATAGTACTACTTGTATAAAATTAAATAAAGCTTCAGACAAAACAGTTAATATTCTATAGGCAGTTCTTTGCTTATCTATCAAACTCTTTCCTAGAAATATATTTATCAAATAAAGCAACAGTTTAGTGAAATTATTATTGGGTATATTAGTGAGTAGATTAAGTAGAAGAGTTATTACTGAAAGGGATCTAGAACTGAATGAGGAATCAGAGATAGCAAAGGCCATTTAAAGAAGGGGAGGGGGAAAAAACCCTATATATTTCAATGCCTCTTAAAAGCAGAATTATATTAGAATACAATGTAAAAAAAAAAAGAATACAATGTCAGACAATTACATTAACTACCATGGGTAAGTGGAAGCATCTCTCTTGTTTTATTTGCTCCTCAGTCTCCTGAAGTAGCAGTACTAATTACTCAAGCTACAAGGACATCACTGAGCCTGAGAGTAAAAACTATAATACTCTTCATCTTGCCTATCTATCTCCCCTTGGCCCTGTGCTTGAGGATTGAGAGAATTCTTCTGTAAAAAGGACTAGGTTAAGAGCATGAAACAATTTTGATCAAGGCCTCTGGGAGAATTCTGACCAGTATTCTCCAAAAATCTTACTTGACATCCAAGAGATCTTTTGGATATGGACAGACCTAGATTAAATTACAGCCACCCAGAAAACCAAGGCATAGTAATGTATCAAAATATTAATTTTGAATCCCTCTTTTTATTTTAAATAAGAGAGCATTATTTCTAATATGAGAGGCCTGGTGCACGAATTCGTGCACCAGTGTGGTCCCTTGGCCTGGCCTGCAGGATCAGGTTGAAACCTCCTCTCTGATATCCCCTGAGGGGTCCCGAACTGCAAGAGGGTACAAGCCAGGCCAAGGGACCCCCCTGGTGCACAATCAGGGCTGGGGAGGGACATAGGAGGTTGGCCAACTGGGGAGGGACTGCGGGAGGGCTCCAGAGCATGTCCGGCCCATCTCGCTCAGTCCTGATCTGCCAGACTCCAGCAGCAAGCTAACTTACTGGTCAGAGCATCTGCCCCCTGGTGGTCAGTGCATGTCATGGTGAGTGGTTGAGCAGCCTTAGCATATCATTAGCATATTATGCTTTGATTGGTTGAACAGCCGACCAGCCAACCGGACACTTAACATATTAGGCTTTTATTATATAGGATATCTCGACAGGCAAGGGGGACAAAAGAAAGAATAAACAAATGGGACTACATTAAACTAAAAAAGTCTTTACACAGCAAAAAGAAAAAAAAATCAAGAAAATGAAAAGGCAATTTACTAATCCGGAGAAGGTATTTGCCAATGATACATCTGGTAAGGGGCTAATATCCAAAATTTATAAATAACTCATACAACTTAATAAAAAAGCAAACAATACAAAAAATAAAGGGGCAAAGGACCTGAATACACATTTCTCCAAAGATCACATACAGATGGCTAATAGACATATGAAAAGATGCTCAAAATCACTAACCATCAGAGAAATGCAATTAAAACCACTATGAGATACCACCTCAGACCTGTCAGAATAGCTATCATCAGTAATCAACAAACAATAAGTGTTGGTGAGAATGTAGAGGAAAGGGACCCCTGGTTCACTGTTGGTGGGAATGCAAATTGGTGCAGCCACCATGGAGAACAGTATGGAGATTCCTCAAAAATTAAAAATAGAACTACCTTATGCCCAGCTAGTGTTGCTCAATGGTTGAGCATTGACCTATGAACCAGGAGGTCATGGTTCAATTCCCGGTCAGGGCACATGCTCGGGTTGCGGGTTCAATCCCCAATGTTGGGCATGCGGAAGTGGCCAGTCAGTGATTCTCTCTCATCATTGATGTTTCTATCTCTCTATTCCTCTCCCTTCCTCTCTGAAATCTATAAAAATATATTTTAAAAAATAGAACTACCTTATAACCCAGCAATTCTACTTCTGGGAATTTATTCAAAGAAATCCGAAACACTAATTCCAAAAGATATATGCACCCCTATGTGCATTGCAGAGTTATTTACAATAGCCAAGATATTGAAGCAACCCAAGTGCCCATCAACAGATGATTAGATGAAAAAGAGGTGGTACATATATCCAATGGAATATTACACAGTCATAAAAAAATTGAAATCTTGCAAGCTGTGACAACATGGATGGACCTTGAGCATGTTATGCTAAGTAAAATAAGTCAGACAGAGAAAGACAAATACCATATGATTTAATTTATATCTGTAATCTCTCAGAGGGGAGGAGGGATGGCAGAAAGAGATTAACCGAAGAACTTAGATGCATATATGCATTGCCCTTGGACACAGACAATAGGGTGGTGAAGGCCTGGGATGGGATGGGAACTGGGTGGAAGAGGCAAATCAGATCCTTAACTGCTTGATATGCTCTTCCTTTTCTGAGAAAGGGTATGAGAATTTGTCTCTCTATCAGGGGTGGGCAAACTTTTTGACTCGAGGGCCACAATGGGTTCTTAAACTGGACCAGAGGGCCGGAACAAAAGCATGGATGGAGTGTTTGTGTGAACTAATATAAATTCAAAGTAAACATCATTACATAAAAGGGTACGGCTTTACTATAAATTCCTGTAGGGAAACATAAATACAAATACACGTCAAGAAGAGAGAGATAAACAGAGATGATAGAGATAGAAAGACAGAGAAGAGACAGAGAGATGCTCTTATAGACACCGTGAATCACCTTGGTGAAGGATGCATGTGTACACTGGCATCAACCTCGAGAGAAGTGCCAATCCTTGCATGCCTCAAAAGGCATATTTCATTTCTTCAGAGTCATTTTATTTGATTTTCCACAAAAAGAACTGTTTAGATTCATAGTGTAGAATGTTTCCTGATTACTAACCCTTCTTATAGGCCATCTAAGTCCTAACCTTCATTCATGATGAATTGTAAGTTCCATCTTTTCTGTAAACGGTTTTATGTCCACAGGGATCTCTCTCTGAATTCCTATCACATTTGTTGCCAATACCAAATATTACCTTTTTAAAAAATCCTCACCAAGGATAATTTTTATTGATTTTAGAGAGAAAGAGAGAGAAAGAAACATTGATCAGTTGCCTCCCATATGCACTATTACCAGGGATCAAACTTGCAACCTAGCTATGTACCCTGACAAGGAATTGAGCTCTCAACCTTTCTGATGTACAGGAGGATGCTCCAACCAACTGAGACACCCAGTCAGCGCCCAAGTGTTTAACTTTTAACAGCTGTTATTTCTTTTTTCTTACAAATTACATGAGCATTGTAATATCAAGTTTACTTTGTTCACCTCTTTGCCTTTTCCAGTATCTTTTAAGGAGTAAATGATGTATAAATGTATATCATCATTGCAGCTATTTTTCTTTATAATTATGATGACAAGGGGGATAATGTTCTATCTCCAAATTTGAAAATTAAAATCCAAATCACAAAAATTAGTAGTTGCCTGATTATTATAGTCATGCAAACTTGCAGTGTATTCAGAAGGATTTGTTTTAAAATACAATGTGCTTATTTTTAAATTAATTAATTAAAATGAAAAGCATAAATTATAAACATTACCCACTTAATGCATGCTATTACTATAATTATGGAGAATAACAAATATCACTTTTTCTTAAGGAAGATTATCATTACCTGGAATCTATCTCTATTTCTCTGCTCCATATAGACTATAGATAACTATAACTGAAATCTACACTTACCAATTCTTTTGAACTATCTATCTTCAGGAGATAAGAGTCCAGTTGAGAGCACTGTCTTTTACTTTCATTCCAGGAATTCAATGATGTGCCAAATAGGTAACAGCTCTTCTCGTGTGCAATCCAGTTAGGGGGACAAGAGCTGGAAAGAACTCCTGGAAATAGAAGATAAATATGATGTGGTGCAAGCACCATTCATCCTGAGGACACAATAATAATTAATGAATCACCATTAAAATATTTCCATTTCAATTCAAACTATAAGAATATGACTTTACAAAAGAGGCCATATTAAAATGTCCCCATTCATTTAAAAATGAATTAATTATAAAACGTGTTTTAGACAGTCAACCTTCCTTTCTCTCTTGTCCACAATTCCTACAAATTCAGCCCGGAACTCCCTTTCTTCATACCTCTTAAAATAAATCAACTCAAAATAAATCATTGAGGTATATGGTAATTTCATGTTAACTTTTTTACAGGTATGAGATCCATTTCAGAAGGCAATTTCCAGAATGAAAAAAGTATAAGAACAATTATTCACATTACAGAGTATTGATGCTTTGTAATATTAGCTACTTGATACAAATCATGGGGAAGGATGGGTACACAGATGGAAAACTGAAGTAAAAGTGTTGTCATATTCAATTATGATACAATTAGAATATCAAGTATATATAAAATTGTAGTGAAATTGTGTAGTAAAAATTAATTTAACTAGAGTTTTAAGGAATATATCTATTAGGTCTATCTCTTCTATATGTGTGTCATTTAGCCTCTTAATTCTCACCAACATGTTTCCTTTTTTCCTTTATCTCTCCCTTTTTTCCTTTCTGATGTGTTATTTTTTATTCTTACTATATCACTGTAAAATGTCAGTTCCCCAAAGGAAAATAATATATTTCAAATTATAAAATCTCCTGTAGGCCTAAACATATAGACAGGGATAAATTAGTTACTGATTTGGAAAAAAATCCAACTTAGAACTGCTCAGCCAAGTACATGGATATTTATGATATAACTTCATTGTATATATGACAGGGGCATTTTAGACTGAGATAATACTAATGTGTGCTTTCTTTGAATGCACAGTCACTGCATGTAAAAGTTTTCTCTCCCCCCCCCCCCCACCCTTCCACCAATAATTAACCTTCCTAAATCAAGAATTCCATTAATCATTTAACTTTGCCCTTGCCTGTGGTTGTGTGGTTGTGAGAGCCTTGGGAGAATCCACACTCTCTTCTAAAGATGATTGTGTGGGTTTTCTTGATGGAAAATTGTCATTCTTCAATGAGTTGCTTCCTGAATTGGATCTCCAAATACCTTCATATACCAACAATAGTGACAAAAGGATTATTCTACTAAGTTTGAAAATTTAAACTCCAAAATCCATATTTTTGTTGTAATATGAAGACTAATTCAAAAGAATATATGTATCCCATGTCCACTGCAGTCTTATCTACAATAGCCAAGATATGGAAACAACCCAAGCAAGCGGGAAAAAAAGTTGTGAGATATATTAGTGTGTGTGTATATATATATATTACTAAGCCATAAAAAGAATGAAATATTAGAAGATATTATGCTAAGTGAAATAAGTCAGACAGAGAAAGACTAATACCATATGATTCCACTTACAGTATATATGGAATCTAAAGAACAAAATACATGAACAAGTAAAATAGAAACAGGTTTTTAGATATAGAGAGCACACTGATGATGGCCAGAGATACTTTTTTTTTAATCCTCACTCAAGGATATGGTTTTTTGTTGTTGTTTTACTGATTTTAGAAAGAAAGTAATGAAGAGGGAGAGGGAGAAGGAGAAGGAGAAGGAGAGGGAGGGAGAGAGAGAGAGAGAGAGAGAGAGCGAGAGAGAGAGAGAGAGAGAGAGAGAGAGAGATACATTGATGCAAGAAGCATTGATCATTTGCCTCCCACACATGCCCAGACAGGGAATGGAACCTGCAATCTGGGCACGTACTCTGACTGGGAACCGACCGTGACCCTTTGGTGCATGGGACGATACTCCAACCAACTGAGCCATGCCAGCCAGGGAAAGAGATACATTTTTTATTAATGATAAACAGACAACACATTGCTGATGCAGAGGTAAAGATTGATAGCTGATAGATAAATAGATGGTAGATAGATTAAATAGATGGGAGGAAAATAACTTCCATGAAGGTGTATAGTAAAAAAAAAAGGAAAAATGAAACAGAGAAGAAAGAGTATTAAGGAGAAAGCAAAAGGCACATAGAATAAAGTCAATTGGAGCCATGATAAATTTGGAATAATAATAAATCTTCGTGTTTTTTTTTTTACATTTTAAAAATGAGAGCTCCTTGAGAACCTGCCCAGTACCTATAACGTAGACTGTACTCAATAAACATTTGGTAATTAAATAATCTAATAAAGACTCTCAGAAGGCAAAATAGTACTTTATTGACAGTAGAATGCATGAGATATAAAATCTAAGATTTGTTCATCCATTACAAAATATCTACTTAGTACTTAGTAAGTGCCTCAGGTAATTTCTGCTGTTACCCAATGGCATTTCTATTAAAGATGAGATATAAAACAGTTTTCTTAAATCATGAGATGTCAGAATAGCTTGTAGTCTTATTAGGGAATTTATTTTATTAGATAGCACCACTTTGTACTTTCTTCTTCACTTCCACTGGTTTCCTTCCATTAGTTTATTCCAGAAATTCCACAGCTTTGAAATCAGGAAGATAGTAGAACGATGTAGTTCAGCGTATGAGGTTTTTAGACAGATTGCCTAAATTTCTAATCATGGTCCTACCACTAACTAGTTTATGATCCTTAAAAAGTAAAATAGCCTTCCAGACTCTTACTTCCCTTATAAATAAAATGAGAATTAATAGCACCAATTGAATAGGGTTAATATACAGACTAAATTACGTTATGCATGTCAAGCTTTTAAAAGACTGTCTGGCACATTATAAATGCTTGCTCAATATCTGTTGCTGTTAATCTACAGTAGTACTCACCCATAGTACCCAGGACTATAGCTATCACCAGTATGACCAAGCATAGGATTCCCAAAGTCACAGCAATGGAACGCCAAGGAAGAGATGCAGCACAAGGTCCTGATGGAGACAGAGCGAACAGGGATTGGATGAAGAAACAGGATGCTTGGCCAGTGTGACTCAGTGGCTGAGCGTCAACCTATGAACCAGGAGATCACGGTTCGATTCCCAGTCAAGGCAAATGCCTCCAGGTTGTGGGCTCGATCCCCAGTAGGGAGCATGCAGCAGGCAGGCAATAGATGATTCTCTTTCATCATTGATGTTTTATCTCTCTCTTCCTCTCTTTTCCTCTCCCTGAAATCAATAGAAGCATTTCAGAGAGGAAGGGAGAGGGAGAGATAGAAATAACAATGATGAAAGAGAATCATTAATTGGCTGCCTCCTTCATACCCCCCACTGGGAATCGAGCCCACAACTCAGGCATGTGCCCTTGACTGGAATTGTACCTGGGATCAGTCTGCAGGCTGACACTCTAACCAGTGAGCCAAACCAGCTACGGCAGAAACATATTTTTTTTTAAAAAAAAAGAAATAGGATGATGGATCATGGTACACTTAAATTCTACAATTCATCCAAATCTGGCAAATTCTAAAGTGAATCATTAATCACTGATACCCTGATTATCTAGTTATCTAGGATTGGTCTGAGTTTTTCCCCACCTTTAGCATATCTCTTTGGGTTCTGGAATTGTAATTTGAGCACAGTGCCTTTATAATTATTCACTCCTAATTTCAGTTCTACATTAATGTCTATAAGTCTTGATATTACCAGGATTCCTGAAATCCCACTCATTCTTAGAAGAGATAGCTTCATGTGGAGGAAATAGTACTGATTACTACTGGTGATCTTCCCTTTTTATGTAGGTATTGCATGACTTTGGGCAAATTATTTCTTTTTTTTAAAAAAATTATCTTCGTGAAAAAATGAGGTAATAATATTTCAAAGAATTATTGTGAGAATTAAGTAAGCCAACACATGGGAAAGCACCTAGTTTACTAGTAGAGACTACTAGCAGATTATAGGTAACTCACTGTGTGTCTATACATATGCATGAACACACACCCACCTCCCTACCTCTTGCATCATCCAGTTTCTCCATTCTTCCCCAACAGGTTGTCCAAAAAAAGCATTGTGTAAGTGGTGAGAGCAAAAAATTGGGCAATGTGAATGACCAGAAAGCAGAAGAGAGCAAATTCTGTTGTCAATCCTTGTGAATAGTCTTTTTCCTGATAATAGGGAACTCATTTTATGTCAGCATCACCACTCCAATATCATTTTCCCTTTAACTAAGAATAAGCAGTAAGAGCACTTAAGAGAATTGTCAGATAGAATTATAGAGGAGACTAAATAGAAGAAAAAGATCTTTTAATGCTCTTCTCCATATTCCACTTCTTTCACATTTTCTTTAAGACTCATGGGTTACTAATAGGACATTTCCATCTAATGCATATATTTTTCTTAACTGGTTTACAAAGAATTTCTTTTGTTTTTTAAAACATCCAAATCCAGCTCTTACCACATACACATAAAAAATCAGATTCAGTATTCTAAATCCTATAACTTCCAACTTCCCTTTGGCCTTTACCACAAAATCATAAGTTTGTCTTTATCTCTCACCTATCTTCCATCTTTTCATTCTTGTCTTTCTTATCCCTAATATCTTGATATGGTTTATGTATACACTTTCAGTTTTCTTGACCTGCATTCTACAATTTACTTCTATCAGACAAGTCACTCCTATTGAAATCTTTCATCTTTGCAGCTTATTTTACTTATTACCAGTTCCTCGCTGCTGACCAATCTATTTCTGTAGAACAGATATTGTGAGTACTTTCTATCATCCTCATAATTAATTTGAATATGAATAAGAAAAGGCTTATCTTCAGTGACTTTGGAAAACCTTTTAAAATATATTAATATTTTAAAACTTTGTACTGTCTTTGCAATTTGTCTTTAAATCTAAAACTGTTCTAAAAAGTAAAAGTTTTTTTAAAAAATAATATATATATACATATATATGTGTGTGTATGTATATATATATATATATAGAGAGAGAGAGAGAGAGAGAGAGAGAGAGAGAGAGAGAGATATTACTAAGACCCTTACATTCACAAGTCTTTCAAATTTTCTCCACTTGGTTAAGTGTTTTAGTTAATGAGAATGAAAATGTGGAAGGCAGAAAGAAAAAATACCTTTCTCTGAGGACACAGGTCTCTTGTTGATGCCTCTAGAGCTGAACTGTAATTGCGTATATCCATCTTCATCCAAATTTTCTAGCTCAGATCGGTATGCCATTGTTCCATGGAGTTCCTCAATTGACACAGCGTTTGAGAGCTCTTCCCTCTCTTCTAAGACAATTGTCTGTGGACCAAAGAGGATCTATGAGGCAAGTCATGTGATATATGCATTTAATGAGCTTTAACAAGTTGAGCTTAAGTAAGTAGTCCAACCAGTTACCCAAAAGCAGGAAATGAAAACTATGTTGTAAGTTCCCATTTATATCTTTAGATCCTGTTTCTGAGACTGATGCCTTAAAAAAATTATAAGGCAGCACCATAGACAGGTCTTTATTTCAGACCAAAAATAAGAAGCATAAAAATATTAATATCTTTGCTGTTTTCATTACAGTCACAAATAAATTTTACATCATTAATTGGCTTTGCTTATGTAAACTATCAAACAATTTTGGTACCTTAATTTTATCATTACTTTGTTTTACTCTACATTCATTCATTTATTCATGTACTCACTCATTCACTAAGCATATATTGAATGCCCATCTTTTGAAATGGCAGGAGCTGGAATACAAGGATAAATGAAGAAACTCATTCTCTCATAGTGGAAACCTACAGATAAGTATATGAAGGATGCTATAAAAAGGTACATTGTTATAACAACAGAGACTAAACAAATTTCTTTGGGATTTGCCAAGGATTGGTAATACAAAGTAGTAATTATTTATTGAACAATTACAATTAGCTAAGTACTAGCCAGTGAGCGTGTTTTCTCATTCAATCTTAATTTTCCAACAAGACCATGTGATAGGTATTATTTTTCCTATTTTTAAATGAAAAAGTTAAAACACAGTAATTTTACTCCCTTGCTCAGTTTTAAGAAGCTAGTAAAAATATTGAAGCAAGGAATCAAACTAATATCTACTCTTGCTGGAAATAGTATGATCTTTTCTGTTTTGCTACACTGCTTCATTCACCATTTCATACACTTATATTGCTAGTAACATTATAGAGAATTCTGGGACTGAAATATTATGCTAAATGTTTGATTTTTTTCCGGTATTCCAATTGCCATAGTAATGCCTCCCAAAATACTTATCGTTGCTGGAAACTAGAGATGTACCCAACCCATTTACAAGACTTTGAAGCAAGTAGAATGAAGGAGGCATGTAACATTGAAGCAATGAGGATAGATTTCCTTCAGTAATCTTTCTTTCCTACTGAAGGAAATAGAGAAGAGGACCAGCTTGGATTGCATGCAACTTCCCCAAAACAAAAGGCTAGAGACTTTTTAAAGGCTGGAGTGTGCTAAGGAAAAGTTGCTGAGTGGCATTAAGGGAAGTTAATCCATGTGACTAGATCATGTGGATTTGTTGCTTATCCAGAAGAGAAAGAAATGTCTGTCCTTATGACAGGAAGCAGTGGTACCTGTTGAAGCTGAGTGGTGCTTCCTCTGAAGTTACACACCCTTATCCTCCCTTCTACAGAGACTGGGAGAGCAAGTATTATCTCCCTAACTGCCTGAATGTTTGCATTCAAGGAGATGTCTCTAAGGTCCTTGAAGTAAGTTTGGGGTGGTATATTTTACACCTTAAAGGGCAGGTAAATAATTTATAATGTGCACTGGAGGGGGGTCCCTCAGCCAGGCCTGCACCCTCTCGCAGTCTGGGAGCCCTTGGGGGATGTCTGCCTGCCGGCTTAGGCCCAATCCCCATGAGTCCAGCTTCTGGCTGAGCAGCTCTCCCCCTGTGGGAGCACACTGATCACCAGGGGGCAGCTCCTGTATTGAGCATATGCCCCCTAGTGATCAGTGCACATCATAGCCACTGGTCATTCCGGTTGTTCTGCCATAACAGTTGCTTAGGCTTTTATTATATAGACTAGAGGCCCGGTGCACAAAATTTATGCACGTGTAGGGTTCCTAGGCCTGGCTGGCAATCAGGGCCTATCTGTGGGGTGACCAGGAGGGCAATCAAGGGGTCCCTGCTGGCACCTGCCTTGGCCGGCCTGGCACTGCCTGCTCACCAGCCAGCCCCATCCCCTGCTACCGCCTGCTCGCTGGCCGGCCCTGCCCCTCCCACTGCCACTGGTTGACCTCCTTTGCGGGGCGACCAGCAGGGCGATCAGGGGGCCCGCCTTGACTAGCCTATTGATTTCAGAGAGGGTAAGGGAGAGAGGGATGGAAACATCAATGATGATAGGGAGCCATTGATTGGCTGCCTCCTGCCCACCCCACACCCGGTGTACAGCATAATGGTTATGTTATTGTCATGATTAGCTAGTAATTAATATTAATAATAGAAATAGAGAAAGTGAGAGGTCAGACATTATAGGCATGGTCATCTGGGCAGTGTCACCAGAAAGCTACAGTTTCACACTCCCCAGAAAACCACCTGTCCATTTCCCGCAGATCACTAGGGGAATGGATCCAACAAAAGGGGAGATGGGCTTATGCACAGTGAAGTTGGGGTGACATAAGGAGAGTGCTTGCTTGTCAATCTAACCTGGGAAAAAGATAATTGGCTATGGGTGGTGAAGCCACTGCAAGCACATGAAACCTTGAAGGGTTAATGGATTAAGTTCCTGGTTATAATCCCCAATGAGCACCTTCTCTGTTGCCCCTCTTACTCTTCTTGTTCTGCTCTTGTGCTCTGGCACTCTTGCTCTGTGATCCACACTCGCCTCATGCACTTGCCTGTTCTCTCTCCATAGCCATGTAATCTTTTTTTGTGTGTTTTTGTTTTTAAATTTAAGAACCATTTTTTAAACTTTTTATCTTAATTTTTTTATTGATTTTTTACAGAGAGGAAGGGAGAGAGATAGAGAGTTAGAAACATCGATGAGAGAGAAACATCGATCAGCTGCCTCCTGCACATCTCTTACTGGGGATATGCCCGCAACCAAGGTACATGCCCTTGACCGGAATCGAACCCGGGACCCTTCAGTCTGCAGGCCGACGCTCTATCCACTGAGCCAAACCGGTTTCGGCATAGCCATGTAATCTTAAGCAACCCCATGGCCCAGGGCCAGGCAGACTCTACATGTAAGATGCTGGACTGGACTGTGCTTTAATATGGAGTGAAGACTCCAGGAAGTGGTCTGAATTCTTGCCCTACCGACGACAAGATTGGACTTCTTCCATGGCAGGACATAGGAAAATGCAACATTGGAAACCCAGTGGTTTAATTCCATGGAAATAAAGATCACTCATCCTCCCAAATGAGTCTCAGGAAATTCCTTTCCTTGCCACATCACAAGAACTCCATGTCCATCGGTAATAGATGAGGACACAGATTGCACCCACTGATAACAATTAGACAATCATATACTTTGTACAATGTTCTCCCTGTTATTTCCAGTAACCACATGGCATCGGACATCGTTATTACCATATTACTGACTATATTTTCTATGCTGTACTTTAGCAAGTTGTCCTTACATTGCCTTTGGAAAGCAAGGAGTAGACTAAGAATGGTTGGTGTTATTTTGAAGTGGGAAGTTTTTTGTATGTATATTTGTTTGCTTTAAGTCACATGTGATATTCTCCCTCTTTCTTCCACCCATAATGGCCCTTCCTTCTTCTTTGCATTGCTTTTGTCATTAAATAGGCATCCAGGTTTTGGTTAATTGAATATATTTGCTATATTTCTTTTTGTCCTGTGACCTTTAACTCAGAATCATCTCTAATAGGAAGAAAAATATAGCAAAACGTGATGCAAGATAGGCCAAACAGAAAAGTCTGTAGATTTCCCTGTATTGATATGACTAGAGCATCTCTGATTTTGTTTGTTTTATATTTGGGAATTTCATAAATAATTTTATTTAGGAAAAAAAGCAATTAAATCCACAAAATATTTGGAAGGAATTCACCTGGTATATTCCATTCATTTTTTAAAGGGGAGTGGGGCACAAGATAGGACCATTTAATTGCATGAGGGAAAAATATCTGTTATTGGCAGAATTTCTAAATTCAGAGCCCATGTTCTAGCTAATAAATGCATCATGTTGCTTTGTTCTTGTCACTGAGTGACTTTAGATGTGTTGTTTAATTTTCTCTACTTGTTTCCTCACCAATAAAATAATGATGGGTCTTAAATCTCTTTTGGGATATTTGTATGGTGAGTAAGAGAGGAACAGGATAACTAAAAGATGAAAATAGATTTCCTGTGGTGTGTGATCTAAGTCAGTATGAATTAATCAAAAAAGAGTTATCAAAAACAGGCAGGAGTGAATGACATGGTGGTGCCATCTGCTGCTTTGTATTAGAAATTTCAAGGCAAGTTAGAGGAAGTTGATCTGTTTTAATAACACTTGTGAGTAAAATTGAAGATTCTTTGCAGGCTGGACCTGATTCATAGTAAAAATGTGACCTTCACTCTGCTTAAAGGCATCTCTATGTCTTCATCGTTAAGCAATTGTGGCTGTCAAGAGTTACATTTGATTATAATAAGCCATTGGAGTCCTTTAATAATTAAAATGTCTATTTATTTATTTATTTATTTATTTATTTATTTATTTATTTAATTTTAGTTTAAATGCATTTTATTTTTAGACAACCTATATGTTTTTTTCTTAAAAACAATGCCTCTGCTCCGAATAAATCAGGGTCAAAATAAATGAAAAGCTCAAGATAACATCAGTCCTATTTGTCCTTGACTTGGTGTGTGGATGAAAAGCAGCAGCCAGTTATGATGACAGGTGATAGAACCAAATTGCCAAATTTGTTAACATTTTTCCATTTCTAAGCCATCCTTAAAGACAACCAAACATGGGGGTCACACCATCCTCACGGTAGTCCGGCAGAGTCACCACGCCACCTGGATTCATGTTTTCACCAGTAAAGAACTACTAGCTTTTTAAATTAGCAAGGATGTGCTTGACTTGTTCTGCAGCCTCTGTATAAAAGGCTTTATTCTTTCTGCTCTCTGTTCTTCAAGTTTCCCTTTGATTGACTTCATATAATCTCTGATGTACTTCTTGTAGGCTTCTTTTGTGAAGCTGGTTTCCTGCAAATGATGGTTCATGACAATATCAACACCAGCGATTACTGTGCTTTCGGTACCTTCCCCCTCAGGGGCTTCAGCAAAGGCATTTCCACCAATAAGCGAGTCATCAATGTTATCCTCT